ACCGATACCATGTTCTGAGAAATGGGTTAATCACAGGCGCCGAGTGCCCACCCCCAGGCTCCGGCTGCAGCTCAGAGCGGGGAGATGGGGAGACATGTCAGCCGTGTGGAACAGTGATGCGCGGGTCAATGTATAAACAACCCGCACACTACCAACGTTTTCAACTACCCGCCCGCTACTCGGACCGCAAAAAAGTAAGAAAATATTGTACCCGACCCTCTTCCTGACCGTATTTTTTAAGAGTAGTACATGCTCATTGTAGCGTCATTGGGCCATAACGTGTAACAACACAGCATCGCAAGAAGACGTAGCCTACATATAACAAAGGCAGCACTTTGGTCATCATCTTTCATTATTTCGGTAAATGTCTCCCACACTTACTCTTTGTATTTGTGTATTTGCGGAGCTTCCACTCCCCAGTCTTCACCTTTTCTCTTGCCGCCTCCATCTCTTTGCAGACTAGTGATCATAGACATGGCGGTTCGTGAACGAATCGGTTCTTTTTAATGAACCGGTCGAACCAGTACGCTAAATCGAACTGAATCATTCGCATCAGTTCACGTCTTGCGTCAGTGCTGATCCACAAGTTACTACAGTTACTCACTTTCAGACATGCCTGACAGTCCCTCCGAGTTGAAATAAACCAATATCCCGAATTATATTTTACTCCAGTAACTCTAACAGTTCACTGAACTGAGACATGTTGTTGATACTGCTGATACTGCGCATCCGCGTAGTAACGAACGCAGAGGTACAGCGGATCACACCAGTACAGAACTGAGAACTGTTTAGACTGAGCTTTTGTGTCATCTTCGTGCCAGTTACTCAGCCAATAAATAAATTCGGCCTATATATTTCATAGAAAATTCTATCTAGTACTATATAAATACAAAGGTTTAATTGGCATTTTTTTCCAAACGACCTGACCGACCGCGACCCGAATATCATTAAAAATATTTTTGGATGACCCGTAACTGCGGGTAACCGCGGGTGACCGCGGCGCAGGCACCCGCTCATTTTGGATCAACCCGTGCATCACTGGTGTGGAACAATTTCAAAGTGAATGGCTTTGGATTAGGAGAATAAGTTTACTTGTAGTCGCCAAGTTACTTATAGTTACTTGGATATCTGTTGGGGGACCAAATAAATAAAGTGTTATCAGATATTAAGCTGATCGTACTAATACTCTAGTCTACTAATACTCTAATGACAGTTAGTTGACACATGTAATTGAAAAGTTACTTATAGTTAGTAAAGTGGACTATCGAAATAAAGTGTTACCCAAGTAATTTAATCAAGGACCTAAAAACCCGTATATAAAAATATTTAAATCATGTTTTTTTTGTTTTTTTATTAAGTACTCGGTATCGGTATCGGCGAGTACTAAAATGCAAGTACTCGTACTCGTTTTCCAAAAAAGTGGTATCGGTGCATCCCTACTCTGTCTTCATCGCAGGGATCACCCAGAGGTTCACTCACAGCATCCAGGCTATCAGGTAGGCTATGATTGGGCATATTAGCCTTAACAATAAAAACATAAAACCATATAGCTGAGTACAATAGAACTCATTATAAATATCATAATTTTGCCACCATGTTAGACTAGTGAATTTATTTGTGATGAATTTAGATAACATTGACTAGGCCCAACACAATAATTGCACATAATACAGTTTTATTACAATTATCTTTCTATCTCCAGCAAGTTAGTTTCTGATACAGTAATTTCAGGGTGGACAGTGGCTTGTGAAACTTGTTTTGGATCAGGGACTCCGTTCCTTCTCTAGTTGAGGATGAGGGGTATAGGGGACCTGTACAGGAACCACCCCCGAAGAAACGGAGGGCAATGGGAGAAGAAACGCAACAGCATCTGGCAATAGAGGTAAGCAGTAACAAAAATTCTATTTCTGTATTCTATTAACCTATATGTATTTGAGTTTGTTTGCACATTTTTGTATTCTGAATTGTCATTATTAGAGACATATCTATCTACTGGAGAATGCAGAAATTAAGATATTTTTTTCACATTTATGCATTTGATAATTATGGTGCGAGTGAGAGAGAGTGACAGATAGCCAATAAAGCTTATTGAGATTGTGTGTGTGTGTGTGTGTGTGTGCGTGTGTAAGAAAATGATACTTGTATGATAGTGAATTATAATTAATAAAATTTACTTGCTCATAACAAAATTGTAACTGCTATAAAATGCTGATTTTATTGTACTGTTGAAATGAGAAATGTGAAAACTTCATGTTTTCTATGTTTACTTTTCTACTATTATGCATCATTTCATAGGTATGTGATACCATTATGAGCCATGCCAAGGAGAGGTTTTCTTTCACCAAGCATCTCATCAGCGCCACTCTCTTGCAAGGAGACTTGTTCCCCCAACACAGCAGAAAATTCCCAGATTCAGCACTACAAACCACAGTGGATGCCTACCCCATGTTGGACAAAGCTAGACTTAAAACAGAACTGTCCCTAATCTACAAAAATGAGGACTTCCAGGGTTGCAGTGGTGCACTGGCTCTCTTTCAGGTTCTAATGGAAAATAACCTTCAAGACACATTCACTGAAACTGTAAGTCTTCTCAAGATCCTCATCACCACACCAATGACAACTGCAGAATCAGAGAGGTGCTTCTCAACTTTAAAGAGGATAAAAACTTTCCTCAGGAACACTATGGCACAAGATCGCCTCAACGCTCTGGCTATGCTCTCTATAGAGAAAAAAACTCACACGGGACATTCCAGATTTCAACACAAGGGTCATTGAGAGATTTGCCACTCAGAAAGATAGACGAGCAAAGTTCCTGTACAAATAAGAGTTCCCCATCCCTTTTAACTCACTCACCCCCGCACTCACTCACACATTCACTCCATCTACCTCTCTCATTCACACAAATCTAACTGTCACAGACACCATACCTTAGTCTCCCTAATCCTTTACTCTGTCTTCCTCTCTCTCACACACACTCGCCCTCCATCTATCTCTCTAACTCACTCATTTTGAACCACACACACTTATCTCTATCACTCTCTCTCTCTCACACACACACACACACACACACGGTCATTCTCTTACCTCTATCACTCTCAAACACACATATGTGGTCATTCTCTTACTCACTCTCACTCACACACACGCGGTCATTCTCTTACTCTCTGTCACTCTCTCTCACACACACACACACACCCTGGCTACGTTCACACTGCAGGCTGAAACGACCTAATTCCGATTTTTTTGCCCCTATGCGACCTGTATCTGATTTTTTCATGACAGTCTGAACGACACAGATCCGATCTTTTCAAATGCGACCCAGGCCACTTCGGTATGTGGTCCAAATCCGATATGTATCCGATCTTTTGAAATGCGACTTCAATCTGAACTGCCAGGTCACATATATCCGACCCGCACGTCATTGCACGCAAGCTAACTCCAACGCGTTTCTGCACTGTTATGGGCCACTGCAGACGCGTCTCTTCCCCAGTGTTGTGCATGAACGCGTTCATATTTTGGGCGAACGTGACAGTTCACGTTCGCCCAAAATAAACATACTGCATTACTGCCTGATGAACATTACTGTGAATACGTTCATTCTGGTGTCTGTGAACGTGTGCTCTCTGTCAGTATAACTTCGTACAGTAGGGTGCCAGATTTCTATAGAGCCTTCCAGGCGAAAACCTGGCTAAAACACATGTAAACATGGCTTAAAATGTAGTGGAAAAAACACCCAATCTGGCAACACCAGCCACCAGTGTCGCACCGCGGCCGCCGGTGACAAAGCAAGGAGCGCCGAGGACACGCACTATCAATTAAACGGGGTTTCACGAGTTCACACTTATATAATTTTGAGTGAGTAAGATTCAATGCGTATTTGGCGTGCTGTCCAGAGGGAGGGCTCCGAGCTCGGAATTCTGCCCGAACCCAGAGTACTCCCCCCGTATAGACGAATCCGGCGAAACTACCGGAAGTAAGCGGGCGCCATTACTGAGCTGTTGCTGGGTAGCGTTGCGCCATTGCCTCCTATTGTTTTAGTTGCAACTTGCATCCACTGGAATAAACAGCCCGCGATTTACGACTGTCACTAACGTTGCAACGTTACCCCTTGTATAATGTCGAGTGGGTAAACAGTTTCCGTTATAAATTGTTTCAATGGTGGCAGTAAAATTTCAATTTTGAAGAGAAAAAATTGTGAATACCCCGGGTGGACTGCCCCTGTCTGGTGCCGTACGGTTTACATAGATTTCCTGGGCGAGTACAAGACGCGGACATTCGCGTATAATAACAATTATTTAATGACATATGTAAAAAAATAATATGTGATATAGTGATCAGCAAAATCTCCTCTCTTGCTATTTTTTCTATTCAATTAACATTCTATGGTCATTAAATGGCTTTCCTGAGCTAAATGTAACGTTATGTGACATAATTGTTCTCTTGCTGTTAAACTGACCTCTTTCCATGGTTTAAAAACACAAATTGGTCGATATTGTGTATACTTTCTAGCTGTAACGTTACCTTACCCTTGCCTGATGCAATTTGAAAATGAGATAAATAATGGACACAAATTAAAAACATGAATTTGTTTATTTGATTTCAATCATTTATTTATTTATTTATTGTTGCCAAATGGACAGATCTTTTTTATAGTTTCCTCATTAGCAAACGTTAGCCTAGCTAGCTTGCCAACTTGCCAAGCTATTTTCATAAATAATCTGTAAGATCATTTGTACCTTCATCTGTGACTGGAGGCCGCTGTCTAACATCGTCAACCCAACAAGTCATTCTGCCTGGCTGTAGCTGTCATCGAGGGTGCTTTCGCGTTATCACCGAGGTTTGTTTACATACCGGTGCACATGTCTATGCCGGTGTTAACAGCTCAGTAATGGCGTCGCCACAAGATGGCAGCCTACACAGAACGCTCGTCGGATTCGTATACAAGTGATTTTTAGAAAGAGGAGTGTGGAGAACTAGGAGTATGGAGAAGGGGTGGAGGAGGGATGCTGCCAATGGATCGAGGTAAGACTGCTGAGTCTATTTATACCCTCTTATCATTGACTGCTGATTGCTGATTGCTGTCCACTCGTGTCAATTATCTGAACGTGCTCCTCCCGAACTTAGTTAATAAAACTTCATTTATGACGAGGTCGGTGAGGATCGGAAAAATCTTACATTTATGTGCAAACTTTGCCCGTCGATAAAATAATTATTGTCTGTCTTTGTATATGGGCCTTGGCAATAATAATAATAAAACAAAAGCTCGCAACATATGGAAAAAAGAACTATTCCGCAAACAACCCAAACAACAAGTGACGTCGTTGACCGTTGATTACTCTTCTGCGCATGCGGGTCACTTCTGGGTCATTTCACGTTCACAAAGGAGATCACAAGGTCGCATTTAATTGGAAATGTGAACGGCATTGCAAAAAAAAAATCGAAATTTTTCAAAAAATCGGAATTGAGCATTAAGCCCTGCAGTGTGAACGTAGCCCCTGTCATACTCATTCTCTCACTCACTCACTCACACACACACACACACACACACACACTTGCTGTCATTCTCTTAAGCTCTCACACACAAACACACTCGCTGTCATTCTCTTGCTCTGAAACACACTCACGCTATCTGAATTCAATTAGCTTCATTGTCTGTCTCTGTCACTCACTCACTCACACACACATAAACACTGTTTCACACACATTTGATATTAAAATAGTTATAGGAATATTAATACCTGTGTGTTTGCTTTGTTTTTTTGATGTTTTTAAGTTCTGAGCTAGATTACTGTGTTTCATACTAGTTAAAATCAACTTTCTTCTCATACTTGGGTGTTACCCTCAAGAATGTTGTCCCACCCTCTCTTTCAGAGCCTTTTCTCTCTCTCTTTCTCTAGTATCAACACATTGTTATCCATTATCCAATTGTCAATTTGTCAAAAATATGTAGTCTACAGCTGGGGATTGATTAAACTAGATTGTTGTATTACCTATTATTTTTTGTATTACCTATATTATAATTTATCAATATTATGCGTTTGCACTTTTTCTGTCAGCACACAGAGCATAATAAACATGCAACTTGTTCATTATCATTAACTGTCAAACTGTTATTATTATTATTGTATTATTTGACCATTGGTATTGACTGGTTTAAGTTATTTTATTGGTATAGGTAAGGGCATGGCCTAAGGCCTCAAATGCACCAGAATGCAGGAAATCACATCTACTAAATTCAACATTTTCTCGGGGGGGGGGGAACCCCCAGACCCCCCTCTTATTCAGCCCCACCCCCTACAATATTTTTCACCAGCCGCCACTGCAATCTTTGTGGAGGGCAACAATTCTAATTCTCAATTCCTTACAGTTATTTGCCATGAGGTGCCATCTTGAACATCCAGTGGGCAGTATGAGAGAATTTAACTCAAAGCACAAATTTAAGCTGCTTTAATACAGTATCAGTATAAGATACAACAATTTGTATGGTTCTGTCAAGCAGACAAAAACATTAACATGATGAATAGGACAAACAGCTATTATCACTTAGGGTGTACTCACTTTTGTTGCCAGATATTTTGCTGTATGTTGAGTTGTTTTCAGAGGACAGTAAATATATACTGCTATACAAGCTGCACATTGACTACTCTAAAGCAGGGGTTCTCAACTCCAGTCCTCGCGACCCACTGCTCGGCATATTGTGTATCTGTCTCCCTTAACGCACCTGATTCAGATCCTCAGCTCTGAGGATCTGAATCAGGTGTGTTAAATAAGGGACACAATATGCAGAGCAGTGGGTCACGAGAACTGGAGTTGAGAACCCCTGCTCTAAAGTTTGAGTAGATAAAATGTTTGATCAAATGTGAGGGGTGTACTCACTAGTGAGATACAGTATATATTCCCCTCAAAAAAAAATAAAAAATAGTGGATAGTAATAAAAACTTTGTACTGGTGATCTTTGTATTGTTTGATAAACATGTCATAACATAGTATGGACTATACACAAGTTGTGGATGCTACAATGCTGTCAGTCATTATGCACATTGGATGTTCATGAATGCATTTGATCTTTCATGCAATCCTTACTTTCCCATTTTCTCTGCTTCTGCATTAAGATGTCTCCATTATAGGACAGTATTTTCTTTGTATGATGACTCAATACGCTGTAGTACCCCTCGTTGACAAAAACATGAAGCGTACCAAATGTTCCCAAGCAACCTTGTTTTGCTTCTCAAAAGCACGCCTACACACTTTCTGTGCTACCAATCTGAAGTGTTCTATCTCCAACCATAACAGACAGGGCTCCGCTCCAACCTGATGGGCTACTTAGTATGCATAGGGCTCTGTAGCAGATGTAATGTGCAGACAGTCAAAAACAAGCTGTCTTGTTATATAAAAGACAGGAGAGCAGTTGAAGTTGTACAGTAAGATACCTTTCATTGGTTTGAGGATTTACACCGTGGGAAAACAATGACATGAAATAAAAAATAAAAAAAAATCTCTTGCACATGCTACATGGTCATGCTAAAAGAAATACTATAATGACACTTTTTATTCATATTTATTTAAATTAAAGGGATACTTCACCTCTGGGAAGATGAATGTGTTTATATAGTAGAAATTTTTTATTCTTGAAATATTCTAGACTGAGAAAAGGCAGAAAATCTTTTTTTTTTTTTTTTTTTTTACTGATTTGGTAAAAAAAAAAAAAATACTATTTTTTTTTTTTTACTCATGTGGCTGAAAGACGGCAACTCCCAGAATGCACTTGCTTTGCCGCCCTTACGCCACTCCCAAACCACGCCTACCGGGTACAAGCGGCAGAATCCAAAAAAATGGATACAACTAGGCTTGCTTTGATACATCATGAGTTATTTGATAAATTTCCATCGAAATGGTGCTAAATTGCATTGTACCGGGATGTACTAGCCTAATGTATATAACACGACTTAGACTTTCACATTAAAAATATGATGCAAGGCAGGACCATGTCAACACAGTAGCTTAGTAGCTCTGCTTATGTTTTCTTCCAGTTGAAATCACTATTTCTCTAAGCTAATACATTATCTAGGCCAATCCATACTCTATTAAAACTAAATGTTTATAAAAAGAACCACAACCAATGTGAGTTATAACTTTTATGTAAAAAAATAATTAATGTTAACACTTTTACACTCAAAGTGTTACACATATTTTACACATATTATGGTTTGACATAAATGTTATCGATAAATTTGAGTAAAACCACATTCATGGTATTTGGAAATGGTAAGTCAAATCATCAAGCACAGATACAGATAGAGGGTGTTAACATAAAAAGAGTACATTTCACTCCAATTCCTCGGAGTGATCATAGATGAGAAGATTTGCTGGAAGCCTCACATAAAATACAATAAAACCAAACTGTCCAAAAGTATTGTAGTCCTAGCAAGAGCTAAGCACATACTGGAACTTAAATCACTTCGCATTTTTACTGTTTACTGCTGTTACCCCATTTGAATTGTTGTGTAGAGGTTTGGGGAAGCACTTATCTACATTTACGACAGCCACTAGTTATAATGCAAAAAAGAGCCTTGAGAATCATTCACAACTTTGGATTTCGGGATCACACAAATGCACTATTTCTACAGTCTAAATTGCTAAAAACTCAAGATCTAATTGAATACCAAATTGCAGTATTCATGTTCAAAGCAAGGAATAGCCTATAGACCATTTCACAAGATGTAAACAACACTGGTCCAGAAACACTTCCTGTTTCAGTTTGTAACTGTTTATTTCACATGTAAAGAAAACATCTTAAAGATGTTTGTTTAACTTTTTGATTCAGTTTTAAATGTTCTGTTGGTTGTATTTTATCCCAGCTTTTATGTAGTGTTAAAAAAAAACTGAAACAGGAAGTGCTTCTGGACCAGTGTTGTTTACATCTTGTGAAATGGTCTATTGCCTGGGAATATAGACCCCTTTTGCGCCGACGTCACAGTTACGTCACGGCGCTAGCTGGAGGCAAAACAAAGTGAAAACTGCAGGCGGCCAATGCAAAACAGCACAGATTCGGCTACATAATAAGGAGCTTTAATAATTGTTATTATTATTTAATGTCATCTTGTTGTGTTGTTTGGTGCAAGAATTGATGAAAAATGAATATGCTGTATCTGGAACTTTTATTTCTAGAAAATATTCACATCATTAAAATCGCACTGTAATGTCACTCTTTACATTGTCGTGGTCTCGGCGCTGGCTCGGCAGAACTGTGGATCGTACACTCAAGTCTTGTACAGGACCATGTAGGCATCTAAAGATTTATATGCCCTCAGTTTCTCTTTACAATCGGTTTCTCTGTAAGGTAGGTGTAGAAGTCAGACCACTCAACCGAGGTAACGTACGTTAATCCTGTCAGATCATCCATGCATTGAGTCAGCGTGTAGGCGGCTACGGGTCGGCCAATCTGGTTCCGTCGGTTAAAAATAACTTTTGAAAATAACAATCGCGGTCCTGGACACTGAGTGACCTTACTCATTAAGATAATATCGGATTTTCTCCAGTCATTGTTAAAAAACAAGCTAACAATCCTTGCTAACTAGCGTTAGTGAAGCGGCCAAATGGATCTTTCTGCCTCCACCTAAGGTCCGCCCACAAAAAAACGTCACCATGTTTACCAACTGTAAAAGGGTCTATACAAAAGATTTTTACTGAGAGGGAGGGAGAGTACAGTTTAAGAGGAAGGGGAAATTTTAAGAATAATAGATTTAGAACTACAAGGAAAAGATTATGTTTATCAATTTGTGGAGTTAAATTATTGAATAAACTAAATTATAAACTAAAGCAGTGCTCAAACATATTTCTATTTAAAAAAATGTACAAAGAAATTATTTTCAAGAGGTATCAAGAAGCACTGTAGTGAGTACTCCATTGTTTATGTTGTTTTTCTTTGTTTGTTTGCTCTGTCATTTTTAGTTGTACTTTATTTTATTTTTTATTTTTATTAGTATTATTATTATTTTTTTATGTTTTGCTGCTTGTATATA